CTCATTGTTCATTTGGATTAGTTTTCAAGACAACTACAGTAAAGGAAGCTGCATTTGATACTTCTGCTTTGAGCATATAAATTGTCCGGGCCCGAGTGATGAAAAATTTTTCAGCTGTGAAGTCTTTAATAGAACACATATCATTCCTTTTTTTCCACCAATCCTCATCAACAGACTATTATCATCAAATAACAATAAGAGAGGCTGCCTGCAGTTAATTTAATCACTGTAATTTCCCAAAAAAATAAAGACTGATGTCTTTTGAAAATTATTCCAATTATGTCTTTGAAAATGAGTTCAAAATTGTTAAAATTACTACTTTCAACACTATATTAACCTCCACCAAGTGCTATTAGTTATTCTCACGATCTTCCTAGAGCAAAAAATGACATCAGTGCTCAATTTTTTTATTTGGTAAAAATTCAACTTTGAGATGCCACAATTATTTTTAAAACTTTGCTCGAGTTCAATTCACTTAAGGTTTAATCTAACCCTTTTCAAATACATCCCGAGAAGCAATTTCTCTGCTTAAAAAAAAAACACAGCCAAAATTCATTTTATTGGATCACATAAAATCAAATTATATAACCACTTGAAAATAAGGAGAAGATAAGTAGAGAGAAGGGATCACAGAAACAATGATGAAGATAACAATAGCCAACATTTATTGAGCTCTGATTATTACTTGATTTGCACAGGCCTGTGCTAAATGGTGTACAGGCACTGATCATTTCGTTTCCACAGCAACCCTATGAAGAGGGTCCTGCCTTTATTCCCATTTTACAGGTGAAGACCGCCGCCGTGAAATCTGGGGCTGTGGCCAACATTGGCAGCCTGCGAGCCCCCCAGCCTCCGCTAGCTACCCCGCCCCCGCACCACACCCATGTTTCTGACCATTACTTTGATGAGGACTCTTCCTTTGACCTCATGATGAGCTCTCTCCCTTAGAAACCCACAGACACCCCTTCTAGAAGAAGAAAGGAGTAAGAACAGGGAGGGTCCATTCCCAGAGCAATGCTTCCTCCCACGCTGCCAGGCTTCCTCGCTCATCTTGGCTTTAACCAGCATTCCCAGGGCTCTCCCTCCAGTCCAGCTCCTTTTGGGGGCCCGGACTTCCGTCAAGTGTGTATTGTCTAAGCTGTAACTGCAGAGAAGTTTCGCCCCTCTTCCCCAGTGCTCTGGACCCCCTGTGGTGCACCTGCTTCTGCCTGAGTCCTTCCTGAAGCAGTTCAGCTGGTCCCCCACCGCTGTCTGGCTCCGCCAGCAGGGAGGCGACCCGCTTGGACACCTAGGTGCACGTTAGCGGTGGGTTGGCTGCAACCTAACATTGCAGATCATGTTGGCAGACTCTCACCCTGACGCGGCTCAAAATACTATTATTTTGGATAATTTGAATAATTATAAATTATTCCAAAATTGTTAGCTATGTGAAGGAGGCAAAATGCATGACTCTCAGACTTTTCCATGTTTTGATCCTTGATATACAGTGAACTCTGTATGCATTTCATGAGGATGAAAGCAAGCACTGAGAAAAAGAAAAGAAAGACGAGGAAACTGAAGGAAAGGAGGCCTTGGGAGTGAGGAATTTCAACCCTGTGTTATTGTTGGGACCTTGACCGCCAGAGAGGCCAGTGCTGAAAGGGACAGGTTTTATTCAGGACCCATGTTCACCATGTCCTTACTCCAAAGTTGGCTCTGCCAATAACTTAGCATCTATTCCATTCTTGGAAATAAAGCTTTTGATATAAAAAAAAATACATAGTTGCATTGTTATAAACTTAAAAATGCAATAGAGCAGTTAGTAAAACAAAAACCACCCATCATCTCAAAGTCCAGAGATACCTACTCTTAATGTGTATTTCCTGCTCCGTTTTCTTCCATTCGTTTGGAAAATTTGTAATGTAAGCAGGAGTATTCTATATATATAGCTTTGTGTCTACAAGGCCTAATCTTAGAGCTCTGCATGGACGTGGATTATAGCTAATATTTGAGCTGCGTGACAACTCACATTTAGAACCTTTAATCACAGCACAGGCCTGACATTCCCCTAACTTTATCAGGCATGTACGAGATTTTGGACAGCACCCTAATGAACTGTAATGCTCTGAAGAGCATTCTTTTCTTATCTCAGTTGTTGAGCAGGAGGTCCTAGGATGCCAAATAATCTGAACGTCCACATGTACATTTTCAGTGTTTGAAAACCAGTACATAAGGCACAGAAGTGCTTTTGAGAACAGGACCAGTAACACTTTTAAGGCTCAATGATTGGGGCAATCTCAAATATTTCCTTGTTTAATGCTTCTGTTATTTTAGGGAAAGAGCTGCATAAATGGCAGGATGCAAAGATCGTTTAACTCAAATTCACTGTTAATAGGAAAACAGAAGATTTAAGATCATCTGGCTCAATTTCAGAGAACCATAAAATAATTTCCTTAAAAAAATGTAAGGGCATATTAGAAAAATATATAACAATGGTATTTCACATACACATCACTTTGATTTCTCAAATTGTCCCCCAAGTGTCTTTTTAGAATTGGGTTGTAGAAAACTTCTCCATAATTACTCAGGCTAAATTTAAACCAGCATCTTAACTTTAACTTCCAAAACACTTCGTGAGTTATTATATAATCAATTATAGAATCTCAAGTCAAGAGGACACTTTTCTTTGTTAGGAATATGCCCAGTTAACTCAAAAATGATGCAAACTCAAAAGAAAGCAAAGGAAATGGAGAGTAGCCTTCCTTTAAAAAATGAAATACTGGGGGTGCCTGAATGGCTCAGTCCCTTAAGCGTCTGCCTTCAGCTCAGACCATGATCTCAAGGTTCTTGGGATCAAACCCCACCTCAGGCTCCCTGCTCAGCAGGGAGTCTACTTCTCCCTCTCCCTCTGCCCCTCCGCTCACGCTCTCTCTCTCAAATAAATAAATAAAATCTTTTTAAAAAATGAAATACTGTTAAGGGTCTCTTCTTTCAGTGGAACATAAGCAACTCCTACTTAGATTACCAGCTTCAGCGTTTCCCCTTTCTCTCTCTCCATCTTCTCTCTTTCTCACTCTCTCTCTCTCTCTCTCTCTCTCTCTCTCTCACACACACACACACACACACACGTGGTCTCAAAGGAAGAAAGGACACCAGTATTTCTATTTGTTGGGGTATTTCTCCCAGAAGCTCTCAGCAAATACTGCTATTTCCTTCACAGAAAGGTTGTGAATCATCCACGACTTAAAATGCTGTTGTCAAGCATTAGCCTCCTAAAACCCTGAACAGTCAGTCCCAGCAAGGGGCTTCATGAAGTCAAGTACCTGCTCTATGCCCAACCATGTGTCAGTTCTGCGAGGGCAGAGGAAGAGCCTAGGGAAGGGCTGCTGAGCGCCTGGGTGGGACGGGCGTATATGCACTTGTTGGTTTTACTGTGGATGCAGGGCATACTTCCATTCAGAGAAAGGGTGCTATGACTTTAAAAAAAAAAAAAATGCTTTTGAAATTGTGAATCGATACCCTTCTGACTTATTTTTCCGAAATTCACACATTCTATGCCTGAATAATTTATAAAGTCCATCATTGGGGTAGTACAGAGACAATGAAAACCCATTTTTAGAACTGTTATAAGCCAACTGAAGCTAATGTAGACATATTACCACCTCTAGTCCACCATCTTAACGCTCATTTTCTAAGACCTCATGAACAAAAAAGGAAATTTTTCCCACTAGTATGTGTTTTGCATCTCCTCCCAGAAGGAAAGGACAGGGGCTGTCCATCTCCATTAAAAATAAAAGACAGGTTTGGCCTCTTTGTGGGTAAAGACCAAAAAAGAGGAAATTTTAGGTTAAACCATTGTACCAATAGTATTCTCACTTATTCTACACCTCTGAACATTTTTATTTTTATTTGAATGCAGACATTGAGAGAAATGGATTTTTTTTTCTTTAACAAACAAGCGAAGTAGATACCTCCCATCCAAAATGTATTCAAACAAGTAAACATCGTGCTTCCCATCGGCTTTAAAGAAGCAGACATTTCATGTGCCTCAGCAATTTACTCTGCTTTTAGATGAAATCAATAGACACTCTCCTTCCATAGGTAATAAAATTAGAATTCTTATATTAAAAAATAATAGCTTTTATTGTTACCAGCTAGAAGTGGCCTTAACGGAGAAGTTGCCTTGATACTCGAACCCTGAAAAGAAGAGCTGTTAACCAACTATTCTAAACCCAAAGTGAATATCTTTGTTAGACTTAGCTCCACATTGAACTGGCTTGTAATCAATAAATGTATAAAATAAGTTAACTCAGCTACTTTCCAAAGCATATATTTTGCAGCCAGTTATCCTGGGGCATTTGCCAGAAAGTTATATTAATCATTTAAAATATTCCATGTGTGCTGTACTGAGTTTCATAGTTGAAACGAGCATATGGTTCTATCAGGTTTAAATTTTCCAACATAAAAATGACTGTAGTCATATTGTGGTCCATGTGTCTATGGCCTTAAATACCCTTGTATCTACGAATGGAAATGGATCCCAAACTGTTTCAAGTGGCCTTTCCTCATGCTGATTTTAGGCTGATATGTTCTGAGATATTTGTCTTATTAGAACCTATGGTAAGATCATACTCCTGCAATTGGGAAGAGGGTCTTTCCAGAAGAGAGTCTACATTCCCAGTGTCAAAGAACTTGGAAAGATTTGGACTCTGAGACATGGTAGGAAAAATTTCCCTCTTCATTCTATCTTGGCCTTGCTCTCTTGAGCTTAGACTTTAAGGAAACTTTTTTTTTTTTTAAGATTTTATTTATTTATTTATTTATTTATTTGAGAGAGAGAGAGAGCACAACGTGGCGGGCGGTGGGGGGATAGAGGCAGAGGGAGAGGAAGAAGCAGACTCCCTGTTGAGCAGGGAGCCCAGCTCGGGGCTCTATCCAGGACCCTGAGATCATGACCTGAGCCGAAGGCAGATGTTTAACTGACTGAGCCACCCAGGCGCCCCTACTCTAGGGAATCCTACCAGAAGTTTCTTTTCCGTGAAGATGTTATGAAGGTGGCTGCAGGTTCATGGAGGCAGTCCTTGGAGTGTGCTGGGAAAGAGGAAAGCAAAAAAAATCGCATGAGGGTGAGCTGGCCTACCAGTTCTGAGAGCAGGCATCTCTAGAAATGGGTGTACTCATTTTGTAATTAATGGGATATACTTATGTTGCTCACACTCTCTTCCTTGTATAGTTAAGTTATTGCTAGCTGTTCAAATATAGTAGTAACTTCCAGTAACATTCTACTTCCCACTGGCCAATTCACCTGGCATGGTGACATGCTGGCTCAGGCCAGAGGTCATATTACAATATGGACAAGTCCTGTATCTCCCTGTGTCAATGGGCAGTAGAGGAAAATAAGGCTTCTAATGCACAGAACCGGAAACAAGTTTATGGGGAATTCTTCCAAATGTAAAGCTCACAGTTGAAAGAAACATGAGAGAGAAATCCTAAAAACTTACATTACCAGTAATCAACTGGGAAGCCAGAAGAAGTTTTTCTAAACAATCAATAAAAACAAAAAAACAATTCTGATCAACTTATGCTACAGGAAAGACTGTATTATCTTTCTATGTTCTCTAGACAAAATGACTTTACAAAATCATTGTCATATAAAGGGGCAACCAAAAATCACACAGATAAAAATGTAGGGGAATGTATTTTAGAGATATGTCAGGCAGTTAATTTTAAAATTATCTTATTTTTCTGGATAATGTGCTCCTTTTGGTATCTTGTCAGTTTTTTAAAATTTGAAATTTATTCTCATTTCTGTCATGTCTTTTAAATATTGAGTTTCTTACAACACCCTCTTTGTAATTTTGTATTATTTTCCCTAAGAAGTCTCTCCAAATTGTATAAGATTCAGGCCCCACAAAGTCTGGATCCACCCTGGCTATCCGATTCCTCACATGACAGCTTGGTCTCAGCTGGACTATGGCAAAGGATGGGGTGATGGTGGAGGAGGTTGGGGTGGAGGTGGGTCTAGGGGCTGTGCCCACATTGTTGTTGTCATCTCCTGGGGCCTTGCAATAGTGGTAGTCAGAGATTTGTGATGTTCTCCAAGGGGCATGAGAATTTCAGGCACAAGATTTGAGACTGTATGATCCAGGCACCCCTCCAACCTTGAAATATTAGCATTGTATGTTGTTAAATATGCCTGCAGATTTCCTGTTCTCCAAGCTAGTAAAGCATTTGTTTAATTTCCAGCATAGAATAGCTGTATTCCCATGCTTGCCAGGAGCATTAAATCCAACTGGCTGGCTCTCGGTCCATGTCAAACTCTCAGTTACAATAAACAATACTTACATAGTATGTTTAAAGGCATATCCATTACTCTATATCCCAGAGTTATCTACTACTCAGAGTGCTGAGACTTCGAGAGATCTGTGATTCCCTAAAATTACATGCAGAATTTAATGTGTGTCTGCATATATAGCTTTCATCAGAGTCTCAAATTGGTCCATGACATGTAAAAATTAATAATCACTAGTTTACATTTCGAGAGTAAGTACCTCCAACGAGGTGGTACTAAAAAAAAAATACTTTATACCTCCAAAAAGGTTTCTAAAATTACACTACATAATTTTAAACCCATTTCTATATTACTGGGCCAGCAGAAACATATGTCATTGATTACACTGAGAAATTATAAGAGATAGCCCAATGAAACAAAGGAAGCTTTTAAACGTACCGTTAATTTCATTACAGTGTATCATTACTATGGACTGAATTAGGTTTCTCCCCAAATTCATAGGTTAAAGCTGTAACCCCCCAATATGAAGGTATTTCGAAGTAGGCCTCTCAGAGGTAATTGGGCCACCAGGTGGAGACCTCATGATGGTTTTAGTGCCCTTAAAGAGCTAGAGATGAGAGAGAGAGCACTTTCAAACCCTCTCCCTGTGAAGACACAGGAGGAGGAAGGCCATATACAAGCTGGAAAGACAGGTCTCACCAGAACCTGACCATCTCGGCACCCTGATCTGGGACTTCCAACATCCAAAACTGTGAGAAATAATTTCTGTTGTTTAAGACACCCAGTCAATAAAGTTGCTATAGCAGCTTGAGCTGACCAAGACAGTCATTATGAGGTAAGGTCTATGGAAGAAATTTCTCTCTAGTTTCAGTAGACAAAAAGTTGGGCATCTCATTTGATTTTACAGGAGATGTGGTCATGAATCTATAACTGTTTCTTACCCTTTGCATTGCATATCATAAAACTTAGAATCAATATGTCATTGTACTCTAGTAAAGATCTAGTGCCTTCCCACATACACTGTGTATTAACTTCACTCGAAGACACCGCTTACTTTTCACAATAACCTTTTCTTCTGTTCCTTCTTGCAATTTCATTCTATTTTGTTGTATGCATTTATGCAACTTGCCTTAAATCCTTTCACAAACAATGCAGATTCTAAGTAAGAATATGAATGAACAAATGAAGGAATGACATTTCCACTTGAGAATTAAAAATATAAATGTTCATTACTGCATTTGGAATTATACACAAATGTGTATTTGAAGAAATTTAATTTATCTCAACCATGCTCATAAACCTATGAAAATGATTTATGTATGCCAGGGGTTCTTAACTTAGGGCTCATAAACACTCCAGGGGACCTGCAGACAGAATTCAGGGAGTCTGTACACTTAGATGGGGGAAAGCTGATCTTCATTTGCACTGATCTCTAACTGAAATTTAACATTTCCTTCAAATACAAATATTGGCAACAAACCACGGAAGTATTTAGGAGTATCTGTGAATTTGTTTCCCATAGAAATCCCAGGTACGCTCGTCTCCCATTTGGGTTGTTGCAGCTATCCGAAAATATCACTTACACTTATCATCACCTTCAAATGTCACTACACTTGCTGCTGCTAGATTATGTTAATTAACGTATTTAAAAAACACATTATTTCTATATCACAAATTTTTTTATAATTATATTTTTATATATTTGGTTTCCTTGTAGTACTTTGCGTTTTGCTTTAGACATTTCAGAATATTATTCTGAAAAGGGGTCCATAGGCTTCCTAAGACTACCAAAGGTGTCCAGGGCATAAAAGAAGTTAAAACTCTGACAACACAAACTGTATTTAGGTAACATCTTTACGAGTGCTTGCAAATATCTTACTGAGATCTGTACCATAATTAGGGAATGGTGGTTTCTCTTGATTGGACAACAGTGGCATCCTCTTGTCAATAAAGGGGAATAGTAGAAGCGGCATGAATCTTCCTATCCCATTGACAAGTTAAGGTCACAATCAGCCCACACGCAGCAAACCTATTTCTTAGGTCTGCACCTGCAACTTCTGAAAAAAAAAAAACATTTAACAGCTTTGTGAAACTCAGGGTCAGCATTTCTCTAACTGAGAGAGAGAAAAAAAACAATTGACTTAACATTTCAAACCTCAACTAAGAAGCAGTACATTTGACTCAATCATGTAAAGACTCATTATCTATTTTGCAAATTATCTGAGCCCCTTCCTTTTATTTTTTTTTTTTTTTCTCCCTTGCATGTCAGGCTTCTTTTGAATTTTTATCAGACACTTTGGTACTTTTAGCACAATTGGAATAGGGCAAGAATAAGGAAGTAAAACAAAAGGCTGTCAGTATGATTACTTAACACACACTTCAAAATTATTTTTAGTTACTGTTGTGACATTCACAATGAGGACCTGGTACAAAGAAGTGTGAGTGTCTGTGTGGGTGTGTTGAGGGGAAGAGTATACCACCTCCAAACAGCCATGGGCAAAGGCCTTTGTCCCCACTTCCCAAGTCTGTGGATCTAAGATTAGGAGAGAGAATATGGACCCATTAGGGAGATTCCCCCACCCCAGGACAACGCAACTCAAGCATGAAGCCAGAGTGAGGAGGCATGGTGGATCCCTGGATGGTGGAATTTCTTCCCTCTCTCCTCTGGGCCAACAGGAGGATATTACCCCTGGGCCCCTTGCCCCATTCCAATGAAAGGTGTAGTTGGAAGTTGGATTTCATAAATAAATAAGGCACCAGATTATCTAAAATCTTCTGAGGATACATCACTTTGTATAATTAATAAGATTTCCAGATGGCTGACTTATCCTTTCAAGCAATGGCACCGTTTTCATGTTAGTTATCTTAGACGACTGACTGTATTATTAATGTACTATATACCCCCTACATACGTAGAAAAGTAGCCTGAAATTAGTTTAATCTTATACTGATGACTCTGGGTCAACACTGAAAAAATCCACTTTCTTGCATGGGCACATTACAAGGGTAATTTCCAGGATCCACACGGGGTCTTTGACCCTTATATTGGAACTGATGCTGAGAATTGAAGCTGCTTTTTCCATTTTTGTCTAATCCTTTCTTGACAGACATTACTTTTATCCTCCAACTAGATTTGAAACCAGATATGCAATCATGAATAGATTGAGGGCTTGAGGACATCTTGAATGGAATAAAAAGCACAATGCATGAGACTTATTATTTATTGTTTATGATATCCATTTGAGCATTCATAGAGTTTTACTGATTTGCTGATTCTTTGAAGAGTGTTAGATATAGGAGTTTATAATGTAATTTCCAAATAAATGAGATTCAACTGTACTTAGTTTCCTGTGAAAATCAACCAGAGAGCCTTCCATATCTACCCTTGCATGTCTATATACAAACTCAGAACAGAGTTTATCCCAGTTTCTGGTTGACAGCAAGCTTCTGTTGTTGAATTAGCATCCTGAATTCAGTAACTGACATATTTACGGACTTTGACAACCCAAACCACTAGGTCCCACTGTCTGAAATCTCTGAGTCACATACTCATTTTCACAGAGGCAGCAAAACCAAGTGTTCCCACTTCCTCTTTCACCCAAGCCTTTATTTGTCTCATTGAGTTGTAACCACACAATGTGGTGGAAGGACTATGGACGTATATTGAAATCCTTCTTCTGCTTCCAGCTCACTATGGAACTTTGGGGAAACTACTTTTTCTCAAGTCTGTAAAGTGTTTTCACCTGTAAAGTGAATATAATATAACTTGGGACCCAGAGTGTTTGTGAGAATGAAGTGACATAATTTCCATAAATTTACTCAGGTCGTGTCAGGCACTTAAGCAGATGCTTCAGAATTATTTGTGTCCTATCCTTTCCCTTCTTCCTTTATTTTCATGTTTATTGACTTTGCAGCACCCAGATATATAGATCACCTTCAAAATACATAGTTATTGTCTTCAGTGAGGCATTGTTGAGCAACAGCTAACAGCTTTAGTAACGCTTCTTAAGTGCCCTTCAGATTTTGAATACAGTTGTATGACAGCACTTCCCACGGTGTCTTAGGAACATGTACATGTATAAGCCTGTCAGCCCTCAGACTCTGGATTTCTTGAGGTGAGAGTTGACATCTCATGCACCATTGTATTCCCAACTCTTAGCCCATTACCTAGGACATTTGCAAACATTTAATAGATGAATAAAAGAATGAATCACTATTTAGATATCTTAAACAAAAGTTTGCATATATTAGGAGTTTCCTAATCTGGTATCATAAAAATTTGGATCAGGGACGCCTGGGTGGGTCAGTAGTTTAAGCGTCTGCCTTCAGCTCAGGTCATGATCCCAGGACCCTGGGATTGAGCCCCAGTCAGGCTTTCTGCTCAGCAGGGAGCCTGCTTCTCCCTCTCCCTCTGCCTGCCACTCCCCGTTTGTACTCTCTCTCTGTCAAATAAATAAATAAAATCTTTAAAAATTAATTAATTGGTAATTAATTAATTAAAATAAATTTTTAAAAAATTGGATCAGAAACCAGAGATCCTGAAAAACAGGAGGCAAAGGTGACCAAATCCATAGACATTACTTACCTGTGGCTCTCCACTGACCTCCTACCACCACACTTGGTTCCTAATATTAACCTGGGAAATTTCCAACTGTATCTTCAATACAGAAAAAGAAACAAATCTTCATTTGCATTTCTAGACAGAGTCAGTCTGCTATGCCTAAAATAGTGTGTCTATTTTAAATCATAGGAAAATCGGTGAGAAGGCTTGTACCCTGGCTGTCCATTCACTCAGCTCTCTCCATGTCAATGCTTATTCAGTCTTTCCTAGGAGGGGGGAAAAAAAAAAGCTGTAGCTAAATAGCCTGGTTCAGCACAATTGCCTTTCAGCTGTTTGGACTTTTGTCTCCTCTACCCCCTTGATACTTTTCTATTGTGCATTCCTCACCAGGCATTTCTCCATTTCCACGACAATCACCAGGCCCCCCATCTTTGTGCTTCTCTCTAGATATTTTCATATACATTGTGCCTTTACTGAGAAACCCCTTCCTCACCTTCTCATCCAAACTTGTTTCCTTCAATTCCTTAAACCCTAACATTTTAAAGTAAAAAAAAAAAAAGACCTTCAGTTACAGTCTAACAATGCAGGGCAATCCCCTCACTTCTTTGCAGTCAAGAAACTAAGACCCAGAGATGCTTGTGACATCCATCTGTCAGAAAACTCTCAGGATCAACACACCAAACTTTTTCAGCTCTTCTTAGGAAAGCACTTACATGGCAAGGAAGAGGCAGGTGGATGAATACTATGGAACGCCCACCAGCTCTAGTCTAAGTGCTTTCACATGTGCTCATGGTATCCTTATACTGAATCCATTTTATCAGAGACAAATGTAAAACTCAGAATGGTCAAAGAGTGAGGAGAGGAAGATGGTGGTAGAGTAGGAAAACCCTAGGCTCATCTCATCCCACAAACCCTAGATAATTATCAAATTATCCTAAAGACCCCAGAAATCGACCTGCAGACTGACAGACCAAACTCCACAACTAACAGGAGAGAAGAGGCCACATTGAAGAGGGCAGGAAGTGCAAAGATGTGGTTTAGGGGATAAACGGGTCATGGGTACTATGGATGGGAGAGAGCCATGGTCGAGGAGAAGGGTGAGAAAGAGAGGAGCACACAGGGGAATGCACAAGGAGAACATTTCCCCAAAGCCATTGGCTTGGAAAATGAGAGGGACTGAATTTTGTGAGCTCTTGCAAGATTTAAAGCCTGGAGTTTTAAAGGTCAGCGGGCTTGGCTGGGATAGAGCCCAGAGGGCACTGCACTGCTCCTAGGGAGAGGGCAGGCAAACAACCCAGTGGCAGACAACATGGAAATGATGATCTGGGGGAAGGCCTGGGGCACACAGAGAGGAGAATATTTGCTCTTCTCAGAGTGTGTCCTTGAGAGGCAATGTTCACGGAGATACCACCCTGGGCACATATAGCTGACACCATTTCCCTTCCCCACCCCTCAGCATGAACACCAAGCCACCTGCAGGAAGGAGAATAGCACCAACACTGGCTGCCTAACTTTCTTACACCAAGCCCTACCTCCCTGCATTCTGGTGGGACTGCCCTTCTCAGTCAAGCTCGCTTCAGTCCCAGTACAGCAGGCCCCTCCCCCAGAAAACCAGCACAAACCTCTGCCCACACCACATATCCCAACCAGAGAGTTCTGCAGGGCCAAAGTTCTGGTGGAGTTTATGTCAGGTCTCAGTTCATAAGCAGACCAAAGCACACCTAGTGAAAACTCACCACAATCAGGCCAGAGACCAAACACTGCCCATAGCAGGCATAGAGAGCTTCTGCAGATAACTGACCTGAAAGACAGAGCAGCCAGAACACAATAGCAGAGTGCATTTGGCACATACTGGAGACACTCCCTGAAGCACCAGGCCCTGGACACTACTTAACCTTTTCTTTATATGGCCATTACTTTTAGGAGCAGGAGATATAACTGGCTTTTCTAACACACAGTGGAAGGCAGAAACTTAGACAAAATGCCAAGATAGAAGAATTTATCCCAAATGAAAGAACAAAATAAGTCCATGGCCAGAGATCTAAACAAAACAGATATAAGTAGCATGCCTGATGGAGAATTTAAGGCAACAACCATAAGGATACTTACTGGGCTTGAAAAAAGAATAGAAGACGTCAGTGAGACCCTTACCACAGAGATAAAAGAGTTAAAAAAGAATAACCCAGAGATGAAGAATGCAATAAAAGAGATTGGAAACAGGCTTGATGCAATGAACAGTAGACTGGAAGAAGCAGATGAACAAATAAGTGATGTAGAAGAAAAATAATGGAAAATAATGAAGCTGAACAAAAGAGAGAAAGAATTATGCAACACAAGAATAGACTTAGGGAATGCAGTGATTCCATCAAACATAATAACATTTGTATTATAGATGTCCCAGAAGAAGAAGACAGAGTAAAAGGGTAATAATATTTATTTCAAGAAATAATAGCAGAAAACTTTCCCAGATTACTGGGAAGGAAACAGACATCCAGA